CGCCCCGCCGCTGCTTTTCTAACTCAGGATAGTGGGGGGAAGCGAGGGGCGCCACCACTCTCGCTCGGCGCGAGAGGGCGGGCCATTCCGAATTCCCCTTTAGGTCAATCGCGGTTATCTCTCAAAGCTATTTCCAGAGTTATATGCTGCCCTATTGACATCCGCTGAGCGATAAGCGCGAGCCAAAGCGAATCCTCGCGCAATTGTATCGTCAGTTTACTCAGAGGAAAAAAGGGCTGTTGACTGTTGTATATTCTTTATTGTTTAAAAAAATATAATCTTAATAACAAAAAAAAGGTCCTTTTCACGGCTGTATCTTGTAATGCCCCCACGGTGTGTGTCGTACGAGTCGGGAACGACGTATCGCTTGTCGTCGTACGGGCTGAGAGCGAGTTTCAACTCGGACACGGTGTGTACCTCGTGTGCAGTCGAACGAATACACGACTGACGCCTAAACTGCCCTATCGCGTCGTTCAGACAACACACGTAATCGTCGAACGTTATCGTTCTCGCGACCACGTTTCTCTTGATGCCCTTTATTTTCTTCGTGTCGCTCTTTTCCTCGACCCTCAAGGCGTACATTTTCGACCTCAGTCCAACGAATTCCGTCATCACCGCGCCGTCGTTCTCGTCCTTCATCAAACCGGGTATCTTCTTGTTGACGCGCGGCATGCGATACTTGTTGTCCTTGGGATAGCCGCTTGTGTCGAATCTCGCGATGTCGCGTTTCATATCCTCGTACGCGTCGTCGCACTCGAGAAAATATATGAGACTGTCGGTGTCCGTGTACATTATCTTACACCTTTCGCGATGCAGCGGCACCATGTAATCGTAATGAAAATCGTAGACGCGCGTCTTGGATATCTCGAGAATGCACATACCGACGTAGATGGGTTTGTACAACCTCACCTCGAGCCTGCGCAACTCGACGGCGATCAGATTCTCCGCGAAGACGGTTCGACTGTGAAAATTCGGTTTCGCGATTATCGCCTCCGCGCCGTATCTCCCATCCCAACGCGTCACGAGACGCACGTCTACGTGATCTCGTACGTTTTCCATGGTCTTGCCGAATACCGCATTGTTCATTAATTTGTACATTTCTTTCTCGAAATCGTTGCTGGCGCGAGCTCTGAATCCCGTATTAAGCTCTATGTATCCCCGAAGCCACGGAGATTGCGCGAATCGAAGCGCGCGGTGAATCTTCGTGATGCACAATCCGTATCGCACGCATTGCTGTAGATTACGGTAATGCAGCACGTAGCGCGATTTATCGCGCAGAGTGGCGAGGAGTTTATCGCACCGTTTTCCGGGAGACTTATCGCGCGTCGGGCAGAACGGAAGGTCAGCGTGAGCGTCGTGGAATTTATGCGGGTACGCAAGGTCGACCTCCAAGATGTAACCGATAGCGGAGTCCAACTTCACGGACATTACGTCGAGACTCTCCGCGTCGTCGACCCATTGAAAGTCCGCGTACGGCAACGGTTCGCACATCGCCCAACCGTACAGATTGTTCACGTCGAAGTACATGAGATACGTCGACGGTTGCGAAGAGTCGTGCGATCGCATATATTTGTTGTTGGCTCGCGCGTACCTGTTGGAGCATTGACTCAGACCGCCGCGGATACCGCGCTCCACGAACATTACCATGTCAATATCGGTGAGCAATTCGAATCGCACCCCCGTGTACTTCAGCATCGCGTCCCACGTGTATCCTGGTAGAGTGTAGTAATGCGCGGGATCCAGTCCGTAAGTGTCGATACAGGTGTCGCGAAAATTTTCGAAGATATCCGCTAGGAGAAGCACGTCCGTTTTGAGATACAGATCGCTGTACTCACCGAGATTTCTCACGCGAAAACAACCCCAGACGTTCCGCGCGTGCTCGTAATCGCTCTCGCTCGCGGTCTCGCCGGTCAACGAACTGTAAAAGTCCTCGCGCGGCGGTAATTCCGTCACCAGCAACTTATCGAAGCCGTCGACGTACTCGTACGGAAATACACCTTTACGTGTGAGCAGGTCGAAATCGCTTTCGCTTAGTTCTGAAAATTCCGAACGCATGATTTTCAGCTTGTCCTTATCGAGATACGACGCCAATTTCTCGAGACTGGTGCTGAGAAATTTAAACGAATCCACGAATCGCAATTTCGCGCAGTTTCCCCAGTTAACGCCTTCCCTTACATACTTCGTGAACAATATGTACAACTCTTTGGTGAGCGGTAATAAATCGATTCTACCCTCGAAGCTGTTGGCGATATCTTTGATAATAAAGTGGGCATCGTAACCGGACAGATTGTGAAAGAACACAGGAATAACGTACGAGTCTCTATAATTTAGGTTGCAACGCGGATGCGCGGGACCTCTGTAACGTCCGGTCAAGTGGCAGTGATTGCGCACGCGTTGACCGTCCTCCGATTTGAACGGTCTCTCGCATATGTGGCAGCTCGTCGCGCTCCAAAAATTTCGTGTCTCGTCCAACGTGAGCTCCGCCATGGTCACGTTCGTCATGAGTATCTCCTTCGCGCGATGCGCGATAACGTTGAGCTCGTTGACGAACCACGACACGCAGTCCTCGCCGCGACGAAATCTGTACCCGGGTCCAATCTCGTCGTACGGGCTGCACAGGTAGTATCCCACGCTAAACGCTCTGTGATGCTGATATGTGTATCTCTTGACGTTATCGTTGTCTATCTTTTCTTTCTCCAACACGCATTCCAGATCGGCGTAGACCACGAAGGGAAGTCGCTCCTTTCTACTGTGATCGCGAAAAAACAACCATTTGTCGTCGTCGTTCGGAAGAACGATGACGCAGTCGTTCATCTTTCCGCAATCGACGCTGTGAGCGGACAATTTCTCTCTCGAGTGAAAGTAGTGTAAGCATCTGAAAATAAAATATGTACAATTTTTTTTTATTCCACATACATTGCACTCTTTTTTTATACCTACCGATCGCATATGTACTTCATGTTCTTGCTCCTGTTTAATTGAGACCCCAACAATCGCGACAGATTCTTTATACACGCGAAATGACCGCCGTTCGAGTTGTTTCGTGAATCTGACAGATACAACAGATTGACATGTCTGTCCTTATCGTTGGTCAGCTGTAAAGGAACGATCTCGTCGTTGCGTCCCTTCCGCCAAGTGGTGAAAACGTTGACGGATATGTCGTTGAGTCGTTCGAACCTCGAAATTTGCCTCAGAGTCATAGGAAACTCGATCCCTTCCAAATTCAGCACCGTCGCGTAATAGGGATACGACCCGCATCGATCCACGTTCCGCAGAGCGGGATACAAAGCGGAGATTACCGCCCACGCGAAACACGCGTTGTCGTATGAATGCACGTTGATCACCGCTTTCTTTACCTTTATCCATTGCGGTATTTCAAACCAACATCCGGCGTGCATGGGATTGCACTTGTTCACGTTCACGATCAGGTTCAATATACGCGACAATGCCCAACCACTGTCGCGTTCCTGAAACTCATCCAGACCCGCCAGAGTGGCATCGATCACGTATCTGTCGTACCATTCTCGCAAATCAGCCGTAGGAAAGAGCTGACGATTTCCCGTGACGACGCTTTTCACGTCGGTTTTAACCCCCGCGACGAACTCGCCATTGAAAACTGTGTTGACCTTCAGGCACGCGTGTCTCTCGTG